AGCGGCGTCGGGGGGCAGCTCCCTGCCCAGCGGCATCTCGGTCTTCACCACCTTCCCAGACCTGCTCTTCATCTTCGAGTTTGTGAGTGGCTCGCGCGCCCGCGTTGGGGAGTGGGGAGGGGGGGCGGTCCGCACCGTGGGTCCCGGCGGCATCGGGGGAGCGGGGCCGGGGTGAGGGAGGGTCTCCCCCTCCCCGATCCCTCTACCTTTCCAGTCGTTTGGTTCCTTGTAGACCAACGGCAGTGGGGGGACACACACTTAAGTGGGAAAACCAAACGCTCAGCGTGGGTCAGAGGCTGGAAGCGGGCCAGGCGCCTTAGCTGCGCGCGGGGTCCAAAGCTGCGCCCGGACCCGCTTCTCATGGGCCGCAGAGAAGAAGCCCTTATTGTAAAGCCATGTCCACCTAGAGGTGTCCAGCTTTATCTAGGCTTAGGATTTCGCTTTTTAAACTCTGCGAAAGACACCTGAGTTCGGACAGCCGAGGTTTGGAGATGGGGCTGGTGTCGTAGGAGGAGTTGAACCCGGATCGTTCGTTGTCTTCTGGCCTTTGAAAGTTTCTGGCGAGCGAACGTATTTAAAATAACCTTGATCTGGACACAATAAAAGAGGCCGTGGTTTGCGCCACCAGCCATTCTGCCTTCTGCGTGTGTGTGCGTGTGTGTGAGTGTGTGTGTGTGTGTGTGTGTGCCTGCGTGCGTGTGTGTGTGTGCGTGCGTGCGTGCGTGTGTGTGTGTGTGTATGTGTGTGTGAGTGTGTGTGTGTGTGTGTGTGTGTGTGTGTGTGTGTGTGNTGTGTGTGTGTGAGTGTGTGTGTGTGTGTGTGTGTGCCTGAGTGCGTGTGTGTGTGTGCGTGCGTGCGTGCGTGTGTGTGTGTATGTGTGTGTGAGTGTGTGTGTGTGTGTGTGCGTGCGTGCGTGTGTGTGTATGTGTGTGTGTGTGTGTGCGCGCGCGCGCGGGCGCTGGGGGTGGGGTGGGGGTGCCGGCCGAGCGATCCCGGTCTGGGCTGACCTTGAGCAGTTGAGGCCTCCGCACCTGCGCGCCGTTGGTCTCTCTTTGCCCTGGAGCGCGCCGCTCCGCTGGTGGCTGCGAGGATGGCGAGGTGCTTCCCAGGGGCCGCCGGCTCTTACCTGGAAGGGAGCAGCTGCGTTTATTTTGTGGGTTCCGACGTGAAAGACATGGAGGACATTCCTTTCCTCTACTCCCACCACAGAGGTGGCTGCCTGGAGAGTTGGTTGGAAAAGAAATTGGCCACACCCTGACTGTTTTAAAAAAATGGGACCCCAGCTTCTTACTGCCTGAGGGAGGGGTGAGAGTGATCACCAAAAGAAGCAGGTTCTGCCATCCATGGAGGATTTATGGGATGCGCTAAGGGGTCGGGGTTGCCTGGTGGCACCTGGCCACTGAATTTGTGAGAGTTGACTCGAACCCAAACCTGGGTGTATCCAGGGAGGATTCAAATCCTGGAGCTAGCCAGAATCAAGGAGGTGACATCTAGAAGAAACCCGGGACACCACTAAGCCCAACACCCCCCTTATGTAGATATGGACACTCCCCCTCTCCCCCCTCCCAGAGTGGGGAGGGGCTTGTACCACTGGAACATTCATTCCCCAATGGCTCATTCCCCAGCTTCTACTCGGGGTTTACCTGTGCTTGCCTGAGGCTGGATTAGAGCCTGCAGCGCTCCTAAGGAATGGCAGCTCCTTAGATGCTACTGTACTGTTTTCACAAAGGCAGAGTTTCAGGACCAGAAGAGGTGTGATGGAGCAGAGACATAACCACAAAAACTCTTCCTAGTGCCTCTTGAATTGCTCAAGTGCGCAGCTCACTCTGTGTTTGGAGAGTATTATAACATGAATCGAGAGAGTGTGTTAGTTGGGCTCCATGCAGATTCCGGTGCCCTCCTTCTCTGGACTTCACAAGAGCTGGCTCAGGTGGCAGCAGGTGGGGGCAAGGGGCAGGCCCTGGCTTCACAGGAGGGACCGCCTCCCGGTGCCCTCTGCTTCCTCTCTGGGTTGCAGCTTAAGAGAAGGAGTGTCCCTGTGGGTAAAAACAGCCCAGCCAGGCAGGGTGATTTTCAGGGGAGGGGACAGGAGGACCCCCCCCACCAAGTGAAAGGAGAGAACCGGGTGTTGGAAATATAACCAGAGCCAGGGATTAGTGGAAACTTACTCCTCCAGGGTGGTATGTGACCTGCGATGGTGGGGGCTTCTAGAGAAACACTTCTCCCTTGCTGGAACACTTCCTTCTCACCTGGCTTAGAAGTTGTTTTTTTCTCTCCCACCTCAGCCCCTGCTCCCTCTGCCCTTTTCCTGAGAGGCCCTGGATGCCTCGGTTGCCTTCTCTCTCTCCCTCTGTAGATTGGGGGTGGGCTCACAGGGGGCTGGGAGAGCAAAGAGGCAGACACAGAGCAGAAAGCCCCGGGAGTTTGCCTCTGCAGGACTATAAATACAGCGCTGTCTGTGTCTCAGTGTGCAGGGAAAGTAGGGTTAAAGGGCCCAGGCGGCGCTGCTGCCCCGGAGGTATTTTTAAATTATGGACTATTACCACTCAACAACAAAAAGGTGAACAACCCAATTAAAAAATGGGCAAAGGACTTGAACAGACATTTCTCCAGAGAAGATACGCACATGGCCAACAAGCACATGATTGTCATTTAGGCAAACAATACCAAAACCGCAGTGAGGTGCCGCTTCACGCAAAATACGCATGACATAAAAAAAAGTCAATGGGAAGTGCTGGCCAGGCCATGGGGAAAACGGAATCCTCGTGCACTGATGGTGGGAAGGTACAGTGGTTCATCTGCTATGGAAAACTATCTGGCCGGTTCTCAGAAAAAATGACCATATGACCCATCAATTCCATGCCTAGGTTTATAACCAAAGAGTGGAAAGCAGGTACCTGGCTAGGTACATGGACAGGCATGTTCATAACAGCATTATTCACAATAACTAGCAGGTAAACACCGCCCAGAGCTCCATCAGCGGATGAACAGATGAACAGATTGTGATATATCCATACAATGGCATATTTTTCAGCCATAGAATGGAATTCAGCATAATACATACTACAAAGTTGATAAACCTTGAAAACACTGTGCTGAATAGAGGAAGCCAGACAGAAAAGGTCACCTGTTGTTGGTTCAACTTGTATAAAATATCCAGAAAGGTAAATCCATAGAGGTAGAACACAAACGGGTGGTTGCCAGGGGCTGAGACAGGAGGGAAAGGAGGTTGCAGCAACTGCTTAATGGGTGCAGGTTTCCCTTTAGGGTGATGGACATGTTTAGGAATTCAATAGAGATGGTGGCCCCACAACATTGTGAACATGTTAAATGCCATTGAATTGGTCTGTTTAAAATGGCTAATTTTATGTTATTTGAAGGTCACTTTCCATTTTTAAAAATTGTAAAAGTATTTCAGATCTTGCAAGAAAGTATATATATATATAAAAAATACTTTAATTGGCACCCAGGTAATTATCATTCAACTTTGTCAAATCTGAATATTTTGCCTTATTACTCTTAGTATTAAGGAAATGCAGCTTTTCAGGTGGCATGGAAACCCCCAGATATTCTGCTGTTACATTATCCTGCTCCCTGCATCCCCAGGACCCCTCTTAGGCTACCTGTGGTCAGCTGCACGTGGCCCCGCTTTATCTGTCTTCACGCAATGAGGACAGTGGCCTCTTGTATGTGTCTTTCTGCAGCATGCGTTCCATGCAACGCTGAGGTTTACACACGTTCACACTGGGCTATTCTGACCTACGTACCCCAGGAGCAGACTTCCTAGGCTGCGAAAGATTAATTAAGCTCAGGACCCCCACTTGCTCAGCCCCTTCCAAGGCCCTGCCCCATTTTGTATTCTTTTATAAAGAAGGTGGTCTCTAAATCCCATAAGCTTCAACCTGGCCGGGTGTGGCTCAGCGGTTGAGCGTCGACCTAGGATCGGGGTTCGATTCCCGGTCAGGGCACATGCCCGGGTTGCGGGCTGCAGTTGATCAATGACTCTCTCATCACTGACTTTTCTATCTCTCTCTCTCTCCCTCTCCTTTCCTCTCTCTGAAATCAATAAAGATATATATATATTAAAAAAAAAAAAAGAAAAGAGTTTAAATCCTATAAGCTTCAGGCTGAACCTGGACCTTCCTGCAGCTCACCAGCAGCTTATGGGACTCACCATTGATCCTGGTCCTTGCCACGCTTGGTAGCGTCAGACGTGATTTTCTGCTCATCTGATGGGTGTGAAATGCTTGATTTTTTTAAAAATCTGTAGTCCGGTGAGTTGCTGATTAGTCACAGTTCATGTCCCCATGCCTGGTGTCCCGGTGGCCTGGGAGGTGCAGATGTCAAAGTGGGGCCTTCAGGAGTAACCAGAGCGGAGCTCACTTCCTTCCCAGGGCAGGGAGACCACCCATGAGAGCAGGGCAGGGAGGTGGCTCAGGGTGAGGCCCAGCAGCCTCCCTCTGGCCCAGCACCCCCACCCCAGAGCTCCTGACCTCTGAATGCGGCAGGGTCCTCACAGGAAGTGAGCACCCCCAGAGCCACACAAGGCCATGCTGCTGTTGCACCCCCTATGGACCCAGATGGAATGTCCAACGTCTCCCCGCCCCCAACAACTCACCCCTGGGCTCTGCTTCTGTCCTGCCCACCTGTCCCCACACATTTGGGACTTTTCCTATTGAAGCCACAGTCTCTGTTTCCCCCTTCTCCTTCTCTGAGTCAAGGGCTTCATGACACTCAAGCCACCGTTCACAGAACCCAGTGCTAACAGGGGACACTTTTGGTCTCAGCTTTAGCCAGAGCCCTAGGAGGAAGGCTCTCACAAAGTGCCTGGAGAACCCCCCTCCCACTTCCAAAATTTGTAAAGGAAGTGCCTGAAAACGGGTTGTGAAATTACCAACCCACAGCTCCCTCCCAGCCTGTATAGGAGGTGGAGCCACTGGAAGCATGGCTGGGATTAAGAGATAACATTTCTTTGAAAAGAGTGTGCTAGGGGTGGCACCCACCTCTCTGGGGCAGCAGTCCCCTCCTCCCAGGTGGTGAGAGGCAGTGCTTTTTAGGGCACACTTTGGGGTGGGGGTGGAG